GCGGCGGCAGCAGCAGCAGCAGCAGGGGCGCTCAGGGCGCAGGCGTCCTGGTGGGGTGTGGCTCCGGCCAGCGCTGCACTCACAGAGAGGGGCTCAGGCTCTGTGCAGTTGCCTGTATCGCCAGTGCTCCCTGCCACTCATGTGCAGCCCCTGCACTAGCACAGCAGGAAGGGAGCCCCATGTGCTGGAGCCAGGTATCTTCCCTGCCAGGGCTGCGCATGACAAAAATATTTTTTGTAATAAAATTAAAATATGTTATAGTAGGTGTTTGACTTTTAGTGTATGATTTGGTTTTTTTCTGGTTCTAAGATGGCAACCCCCCTCCCAAAAGGAGTATATCCAGGGGGAGCAAGGGGAAGGACTTCTGGAGGCAAAGGTCAGGGGTTAGGTGGTGGGACTTCTGGTCCCAAGATGGTGACAAGGGGCGGGGCAACTGTCAAGGGGTGGGACTACCCATACAGCCCTCAACAGTTCACCAAAACTCGTTAAGTGGCCCTCCACCTGAAATAATTGTCTGCCCCTGGCTTAGAGGCTTCCCAGCCAGGTACAGTATCTACACAGACCTGCTTTGCTTATAAGACCTGAAGGCCCCCCCTGCCAATCACTCTGTGCTCCCTCCCCCCCAAAAAATAGCTTTTGTAGGTATCAAATTTAGGCATGAATAGCCTAAACTCGCCATTTTTAAGGTGCATTAAGGGTATGTACATGTAGACCTGCACTCTTAATGCACCTTAAAAATGGTTAATACACCTTAAATCAACGTGTAGATGCACCCCATGTGATACCTTTCAAATACCGTGTGTTAAAAAGCAAATTGCCAGCTCTATACTATGCTTTTAATATATGCTAACTGACATGTTAGTCAATGTGTTTTGAAAACACACTTTCTCTCCTAGGCCTAGAATTTACAAGCTTTTTAAAAAAGTATATAAATGTGTTTTATGGTGCCTTATGAAATATGCAGTGACAAACAGTGTTTGTTATAGTACACTGCTTAATCAAAACTGTTATATTTCAAAAGCTAACTGTTTCAAATGTGTTCAGATATTATTTCTAAGCAAAATGTTTTCAGCTGGGTAAGAACCCTTCTATTCATTGAGGATAAAAGCCCTGAGCCTGCGAACACTTACATCTGTATTTTACTACAAGCAAGCTTCTTACTGTCTTGAACAGCTAACTGATATTTCCTCTGAAGCACGTGCACAGAGGGCCTGAGGTTGTGATCTGAACACTAAACTATATTATTCTGCTATTAGACAAATGGACCTGCTCACTCCTATATGAATGCTTATCTAATATTTTGATGCTGAGTATCAAAGTCCAAAATCTGCAAATGAGGATTCCTTAAATTGCATGGTTAAAACCATAGTTAGACTTTAAAATAGGTAATCTGTTTTTTGTTCTTATGTGAAACAAAGAATTTGGATTCTGGCATGACTGTCTGGTTCATTAATATTTGGAAAATATTTACACAAGTTCTGGCTCAGTTCAAAATTAAATACAATGTAATGGTCCCTTCCTAGTCCCCTTTTTTTCTATCATAAAAACCATCATGTCAATTAGCACACAGTTGAGCCCCAATTGAAGAAAAATCCCTAAGTGTGGTATGTCAAAAGTAAGAAAGATTCGATGTAGATGGATGGAAGAAGCTTGCAGAAACTTCCTGCCTGTATTATATCTGACTGAAGTCAGTGCCCCCAGATGCCTCTCATTGCCATAAACACAATTCATTCATTCATGCATTTTAAGACATTGATCAAGATTTAAAAAAAAACCAACAAAAAAACTAAAGATTTTTTTAAATGTAAAAGGTCACTGGTACCTGATTGATCCTGCAACACAGAACACTTATTAATTTAATATTATTAGTAGATCAGGTTCCATTTATGTAAAAATGTTTCTGCTGAACAAAATTACCATTGCACGTTACTTATACTAACATAGCCATGCATTTTTTTTGTGCCCGTGTATTGCTGAAGAACTCAGGAGACTGTGTGTGATGTATACCAAACTACTGAGAGCCAGTTAAGTTCAAATTTTTTAGATGTCTTAGTAGACAAGAGGAAAATAGCTAAGAGGCACAGTTGGACAACTTTGACTGTAATATCAAAGACTTGAAGATGAAACAAACAAATGCATACTGTGATACTGGTCAACATATAAAGTCCTATAAATACAAACCACATACAGAAAAACTAGATCTGGCCGAACGGGCTTTGGAAAATTTCAACAATCCAGAATGCAGGTTCCCCTAAAAGACTGTCCTATGGCAATTTTTTAATGGTAACTATGATCACTATTACAAAAGATAACATATTTATGGTATGGCAGGCTGAGAATAATTATATAAGCAGGGTCATCCACATATAATATAGTTAAGTACATGATAATAATGTAACATTTCATACCTACCAGGAAGCTTTACAAATGGCCAAAATCTGAATGAAGGCAAGAGGAATTGCAGATGTTCAACAATAAGCAGGATCAAACCACAAGATTCCAGTCAGTGAAATTCACTGTAAATTTGCCAGGGTGAGGACACTAGAATTCAGATAGTCAATGTCAGCATAAATGATGTATTACAAATATTGAACACTGAACTTTAGAGACCCCCGTTAAATTTACTTCAAATGAATGCAAAATGATCTGACTTGCTTGTAATGAATATCTAGTACTTTGCTACATGCTGATTGTCTTATTGCTGTTGGAATGGACTGTAATGTTGAATATCATGTACCGTAATACTGTAACATGAACTGCAACTCCCAGAAGCCTCCAGGGGATCAACGGAATGATCTGTAACATGCACTGTAATCCCCAGAAGGCTGCAGGGGATGGGAGAAAGTGGAAAAGCAGCAAAGGAGTGCATGATGTAGCAGGTAAGACAGATGTATGGCCAGAGACTGAGAAGGAGTGGCAGAGCCAGCACTGTGAGCTGCAGAAGCAGGGCTCAGATGTGGGAGCCCTGGCAGATGGCAATTCGGCATTTTTGGGGCCAGAGATTGGTTGGAAGTCTCTCTGGAGTTGTGGGAGGGTTTAAGGTTTCTCAAGTGTACATACCATGGTGTTCCCTACATGTTACCTGTTCTTGGGTGATTTCACCACAGTGTCACTGTTTATTACCTATCACCTGGATCCTATATGTATGTACCTGGATCCTATGTGTAATGTTAATGTTTATTCACTTATGCTGACCTGAGCCCATTGGCTTGTGACCCTAATCCTCAGCATCCCCTATATACAAGTGGAAACATCCTGGTCGGGCTCCTTGTGCCAGTTCCTAGGGTTGCAGGGTTTGGCACACTGTACATACATGCAATCATTAATAATGTAGATCATAAGACTTATCTTTGGAGGAAGATAAATATAGTTAGAGATTAAAATTACTTGATCTTGGCTGCAGTTCAGCAAAGTACTTCATGTGCTTAACCTTATGGCTAGGGACAGAAGTTACACATAAGTCCATTTAAGTGAACAGAAACTGGTTTAAACCTATAACAGAACAGAAGTTCAGTGCACATAAGCCAGTTTCAAAATGGCTGAAACTGGTTTAAGATAAACCTGGCTGAATGTAGTATCAGAACAAAATGATTTGGGTCAAATCGGTTTATGAAACTTCTGTCCCAAACCCATTCCTGGGTCAAGTTAAATCACAGTCTCCCAGCATCGCAGCATGCTCTGCAGTCCTGGGCTGGGCTGGGCTGTCTGCTCCAAAGAGCAGGGCTGGCCCTGTCCTTCTGCTCCCTACTTGAAGCAGTGAGGGCTGGCTGACTAAGGGGTGGGGGAGGCAAGCCCAGCTGGACATGCAGCCCAGGTTGCAAGGCGGGGACTGTCACCCCAGGCAAACCCAGGCTGGAGTCTGGGGCCAGGGAAGGGGGGTTAAACACACCTTCCCCTGCTCAAACTAGCTGGCTGCAACTGGCTGCAACTGTGGACTGCAAATTTCAGAGGCACCTGGAAGCAGGAAGAGGAAGTGAGGAGCAACTCTGCAGAGTCCTGCAGCTGTAATTTTGGACAAATCCCAGAGACCTCAGGGGCAGCAGGAAGAGGAAGCAAACACATAGCCCATACTGGCTTTGTGCCAGAGAGCTGTGCTTTAGTGCCCCCTGGCTTCTGGCCTGAGCCACTACAGGCATGTGGCTGCATTTCTTGTATGTCTGTTCACTTCTGTTTCAATTTAATCTCTACATCTTAAACTAACCTGCAAAGACTGAATCAATTCAGCTTTTTGACTGTCTGCACTTAGCCTATGTGAATAGTTTCCCATAGTTTCAATGGGATTAATCACATGCATAAAGTAAAGCAGCTGCTTAAATGTTAGACTGTTCCCAGGAACATGGGGCCTAGACAAGAAGAGACCTTTTTCCTGTGGCTACAGAAAGATATTGGGTGTCAGGACTTCAAGGTTCTATTTCTCATTGCAGTTGTATCTAATGCTACATAGGGGTGGTGCAAGGTTGGGCCTGTGTCTCTCTGCATCATCATCTCACTTGCCTGAGCACCCAGTGGTGCCACTATCTAACATTTAAACTTGTCACCAGCGTTAGCCATATGAAGGGGGTGGCTGGGGGAGGAATCATATTACCATTACCTCAGCTTTTCTTAGCAGAATTGCTACCCCTTCTTTAATTGTACTGATAATTATTGTTTTAATGATGCTGGGAACAATGTAGGTTTTAGCATTTTCAAGCATTTAGATGTAATATCCAAGGTTTGGATTAATATTTCCATTTGTTTCCCAGGTGTTATAGTCTTTTAAAAATGCACAAGTAAGTTCCCCAGACAAACAAGCAAATATACTAACAAATAATAAAAAAGAACAATACTAATAAGTAACATCAAGACAATATAGCAATACTCCATTCCTACTCACTCTCTGTCCTTAGCTCAACCTTATCTTTGAAAAAATGGCCTTTATAATATGGCCAGGTGGGGGCATCTTCTAAGGATCATGTATGAAGATCCCATGGGAGCAAACTAATGGAAAGAAACTAGTTAATTTCTGATCTCACATATATAAAAATGGAGATATTTTGATAACTGTAATTCTCATTGGGCATGTCTACATGTGCTATTACTGTGCATGAATAAACAGCAGAGCTTATTGCTCTGGAGTTAAAGCGTCCTGGATGCACCATTTGAACATGAGCCTGGAAGCAATTAACCCTGGAGCAATAAGTTCCACAGTTTATTCAAGCACAACATGGAGTCAAGTTGGAGCAGCCTGAGCTGGCAGGGGGCCTTGGGGGTCAGCCTGCCAGGCTGGGGCTGTTCTCCCTAGCTCAATGTGCTGCAGAGGGGCTGGCTGGGGCACAAGGGAGTTTCACTGTGGGGCTAGCCAGCAGGCAGACCCCACACTGAAGCACCCTTGTGCCCCAGAGAGCCCTCCAGTGTCTACACATGTGCTGCTATGGAGTTTTTTTACCCTGCAGAAGGATAGTACTCATAGGGCATGTTTACATGATGCCCTACGGTGATATAACAACATGCTATGTTGCCGTACAGTGCACTACAGCGATGTAGTGATCATGTGGGTCTGCATGTGATTGGCAGCTACATTGCCATTGTGGCACACTCCCCCATTTTATCATGCTGCTACGGTGATGTAGCAGCAAAATCTAACTGGGTGCCATGTGCATGGTGCAATATGGGCAGTTGCTGCATCGTGCTTTAGTACAGGAGACCCTTGCCATTCGCGGGGGATAGGTTCTCATATCCCCTGCGAATAGCGAAATCCGCGAATAAGGCACTGCATTCATGAACGCCGTCTGTGTTCGTGGACACACTGCCCCTGGTGGCTGACAGGGTGGGGCCTGGCTCCGGTGGCTCCGGCAGGAGCATGGTGGCGGCAGCGGGAACCCGGTGGTAGCAAGCTCCCGAGGAACTCCTGTAAGTGTATAAAGTGTAGTTAAAATGTGGGTTCAGCATTTGCGAATATTTGAAACTGTGAATGCTGAACCTGTGAAAAGCAAGGGTTTCCTGTACTTCCAAAAGGAAGTACTAAAGCATGGCACTGTAGCAATGTCACCATATGGCGACATGTAGACACACCTGTAAATAGCTAGTTACCAGTGCAGTAAACGTCTTGGCATCTACACATGCGCCCCTATTAGGGTGGAGTAAACTAATTTACTCCACAGCAGGATAGTACAGCGGAGTACATTAGTTTACTCCACCCTAATAGGATTAGTTGGCAAAACGGGCCCATTCAAACAAGATGTACTTCAATGTGGCCATATGCAAACTTATACTTAAAAACAAAGGATGCCGGTCATAGCTGCAGAGTGGGGAATGGTATTCAGAAAGCAGTGACTTTGAAAAGTTTAAAAGGAACTCAACACGAACTCTTAGTGCAATGTGTCTAAAAACAGGGGTACACCAATATATCGGTTGCCTACTGGATTGGCACTGTTAAATGAGAAATGATGTTATTAGCTACCGGCTTTGTTTGGTCGTTGTAGCTGATAATTACAGCCACATGCCTGGAGCACCCTAGTGAACATAGTCCAGTCCCTGCACCCCAGGGCTGGCCCAAGCCCTCAGCAAACTTCAAGTCCCAGTGAGCAGCAGGAGGGCACTGGGGGACAGTCACAGGACACCACACTCAGCAACAGAGGGACCAGAAGGAACCTATCCCCCGCGAATGGTGAGGGTCTCCTGTTACCAGTTCCTCCTGCTGCTGCTGCTACTGTCACTGCTGCTGCCATGGTAGTGCTGTATGCACAGCAGAGGCCTGAGCACTGGGGCTGCTGCAGAAACATTGGGCTGCACACGGGCAGGGTAAGGCACCACGCAAGGGACATTCTGCTTCGCTGGCATCTTTGCAAAAGTGGCTTCTCCCCAGCAGCCGTGGGAGCTCAGCTGTGTGAAGCCCACTGGTACTGAGGTAGCAACTTGCTCTTGGGCTCCGAACATGTCCAGCGCCACAGTCCACGCAAGGGTCCACCCCGCTCACCCAGGATGGCAGCACAGGGAGCTGTCAGCAAGAGGGCAACGTGCATTAAAATAAGGTGGTCACCGCCTTCCTCATCAAGGACCAGAGCAGGCAGCAAGCGTGTGTGTGTTATAAATGCAAAACAAACAACAGGTTTATTTATGTCAGTAGCTTAAAATGCCTTGCACTATTACTAAATATTGGTTATCAGATCGGCATCAACCAATATGGTGGGTTAATCATTGGCTATCGGTATAAACCAAGAAAATCTTTATCAGTGTACCCCTATCCAAAAGTCCTGTTTGCAAGGCTGCTTATGCATTTTACATTTGACAGCTATGGCTCAAAACATAGAAATAAACCTGGAAGGGACCAAAACAAGGACTGCCCACTCCACACAAAATATCCTACTCACTAGACTACAAAGGAAGATTCCCTCTTGCTTACTCTCATTCTGGCACCTTAACTCTTAAACTCTTTAACTTCCCAGTGGCTCAGCTTCAACAAAAGTACGTAGGTTACCCCATCACACCACTCAACCTGTTCCATAGGCTACTATTAGGTACTCTTCTAGGAAGTAAGAGATGTGCTACAGAAGATATAATGT